AGTAGTAGTAGTAGTACGAGTACGAGTACGAGTAGTAACTAGTAGCCGCAGCCGTAGCAGTAGCACCAGCAGTAGAGAGAAACAGCGCCCGAAATCCCACGACCCCGCCTTACGCCCCACCGAAGTCAACAAAACCCTAAACCCTAAACCCCTAAACAAAACCGAGTAGCGTGGTCGGCAGGCACAGTGGCTTCGGTTCTTCCAAATCCTATGGTGGATCGCTTCGAAGGCCCAGGGTTAGATGTTTTGAGTCCGGGGTTGGCTCCAGGTTTTAGAGTACCCTAGACCCTAAACCCAGTTTGCGTTAAGGGTTTAGGGTTTAGGGTTATTTAGGGGAAAAGCATGAGGCTTCGAGGGAGGTTCCGGCTCCATGAGCAACCATTGGGGAGCTGCCTTTCAGCGGACTCTAAGCCCTAAACCCTGGCGTTTTCAAACCTTCCCAAAGCCCGTGAGCTTCTGTTCCCGTCTGCTCCCCCACCGTAGCGGTCTAGGATAGACTGTTTTATGCTTCGGCCATACATGAGTTCCTACTAGTGCGGCTTCATAAATAAAACCTTCAAGTTAGGTATGGATGCTAGCCACTAAACAAGTAACACATGAATTGAACACAACTCAACCCTAAACCCTCAACCCTAAGCCCTACAGCCTATGCAAACCCGAATGCTTTGTCCTCGTAGATCACATCGCCACAGAAGCGGTTGAAGAAGCGCTCGAACTGAATGGCGGAGATCCCGCGCCTTTCCGGCTCCTGAACCCACCTGGGTCTTTCGGCGTTCGGTTTGCTTGCGGGGATTGAACTCAGGGTCTAGGGGGCATTCCGGCAGTGAAGCTCTGGCATCGAAGCTGAAGAGGAGTTTGCTGTTGATGATTGATTCCTTGAAGCTGCCTCACTAGGAGCTAAACCAATCAACTTCCATATGTCCCAGAACAGGGGCATCCAGCTCTAGAGCAGCTGTCAGGCTATCGAAAGCACTTAGGGTCCAGAAGGCCTCGACACGCATGCAGCGTTCACTACTTCGACATGCATGTATAGTTTGCACAGGTCACATCACACACAACAAAAGAAACTGAACCTTAAAACCTAAACTCACAATAGATGTTCCAGCCGGAATGCACATTGATCGTCGTGGCTTGGCCGTTGTTAGAGGAGAGCCCATCGAAGGCTTCGAGCGAGCGGGAGGGAGAGGTTGGGTCGTCAGCCGCTGAGCTGGCACTGTCTGGCCAAGCGACGCTGTCACCTGGGCTTCTGGCCGAAAGGGTCTTAGGGTTTAGGGTCTTAGGGTCTTAGGGTTTGGGGTTTAGGGTTTGGGGTTTGGGGTTTAGGGTTGTAGCTATCTATCAGGGATAACTTTCAGAGTTCCTTGAAGGTATTATGTTGCTATAGGAGTACTATAAGGGTACTTTTAAGGGCGCCTGTATGACTTATATGGAGGATATCTAGCCAAACGATACTGGTAACTACAAATATAGAAACCCCACTTTCTACCACGTAGCTACTTTGGACTTTGGACCCTTTTGGGGAGGTTTCTACAACTAAACAGACGCCATCGGGAGGTAAAAAACTAAAACACTACTGTCGGGGCCTTTATAATTGGCATAGGGTTTTGAAGTATATTATACTAAAATGGTATAGGTAATGATTTAGGCCCTGGCATTACATAATGTCATGAGATGGATGCTCGGAGGGTGAATGGCCTGTAGAACTTTGGGCATTTGGGATTCGGGTTTAGCGGTTTAGAGACCCAAGCCTGACGGCTGGGAAGAACACACTGACCTACGGTCGTCTTGGGGCTTAGGGTTAGGGTTTAGGGTTTAGGGTTTAGGGTTTGGGGCCCATCCTAGCCCAAGGGTCTCAGCATCATAAGCCGTGCTTAGATGCTCAGTACTATCACAAGCCTCTAATCCCCTAAACCCCAAACCCTATAAACCCTAAATCCTAAACCCTAAGCCCCGAAACCCCTAAACACTAAACCCTAAATCCTAAACCCTAAACCCCTAAACCCCTGAACCCTTTAAACCCTAAATCCTAAACCCAAAGCCTCTAACCCCTAAACCCCTGAACCTCGCTTGAATCGCTTCTTGTCTCGGATCAAGCCTTGAGGATGATCCCAGACCTTCACAGAGAGGCCCTAGGGGGGCCTTAACAACTGGAAATGTGGCGCAGCGAAAGTATGCATGGGCATGATAATAATAATACTAATCATATTAATAATCATAATCATAATAAATAGTAATGATAAATAATAACAACAATAATAATAGAAACGGGGTTTTGCTGTACTTAACAGTTTAAGTATACCTGTGTGTGTATATATATATGTATATATATATATATATACGGGCTATAAGGGGATGTTTAACAGCTCTTGACAAATCTCGGCCGTGCCACTGGCTGCCTGCGACAGGTGCGAGACCACACGGTCCATAGGGGAGTGGTTCCTTGGCTGCTCACGAAAGGGTCCAGGGCTCAGGGAGAAGCAATCAATCAACAAGAACCTACCAGCTGCACTTGAACCTCGGACCCCAAAACCAGCACATCAGTATTAATCGTATTTCTTAGGGTAAGTCTGGAAGTAACTCTTGCAGTAACTCTTGATTTCTAGAAGCCTTAAATGGGAGCAGGGATTGCGGATGGGGTGGCCTTGGCGACGTTGTAAGTTTCTTAACGGATGCTACTAGGAACGATAGGGAGTTCGAATCCGGAGTCACCCTGATGTAGCGGTTTCCAGGCTCAGAAGAGGGCTCCTTGTAGGGTTTCTTGTAAAGGGTCTATCAGGGTTCAAAGACAGGGGCCGTAATCTGTGTGTTTAGTCCGGGGTGTTGAGTCTTGCACAGTACACCTAAGGACAAGTATAGCTCACTATGCAGGCCCCTGTATTGTAATGAAAAGACCCTTTGATTCGAGACAAGCGTCGAGGAAGGGGTGCGCTGCAGAGCGGGCAGAACGTCGCTATCTGTGCCAAGCCTCGTCAGTTCGAACCGCGAGCAAGTAGACCCGAAACCCGCAGCTCTACGCCCAGAACTCTCTGACTTTGACAAGCAGAAAAAACCCTGACAATTCAATATCCTAAACTGACAACAGATCCTAAACCTTGAACCCTAAACCCTAAACCCTAAAACCCTAAACCCTAAACCCTAAACCCCAAAACCCTAAAACCCTAAGCCCTAAACCCAAAAACAAAAACACTGGAAGCTGAATCCCCAAACCCATAAGCCGTACAGGCCTCAGTCCCTATAGCCTACCTGAACAGCATCACGATTTCTCTATAAATAAGTCCTGAAAAAAGGCAGGATTCTTCGGTGGGATTTAAGGTGAACCCTTGAACCCTGAACCATACCTAAACCCTAAACCCTAAATCCTAAACCCTTAAACCCTACACCATACCTAAACCCTAAACCCTAAACCATGTAAAACCATCAAGGCCTCAGCTCCAAACCCGACTGGCAAGCCTCGTCAGTTCGATCGTCGGGATGCCCATACTCGGCCTCAGCTCTTGCAAAGCACTTTGCGCCAAACAAGCGGAAACCTATCCCACGGTTCAGGGTTTAGGGTTTAGGGTTTACCGGTAGCCCACAAGAGCTACCTTTTTAAAGAATTATATATAGAAGCCTTATTAAGGAACCCAGAACATGTTTTTTCGGCTGCAGGTAGGGTTTAGGGTTAATGTAGGGGCCTTAATGGTTAGAATAGGGTTTTGGGGCCCATAATACGATGATTATAACAAGGAACCCCCAAAATAGTATAGGTAATTAGTCAGGGCCCTATTATAAAGCCCTAAAACCCATATTCGTTTCTATTCATAGAACCTTGCTCTACATACAAAGCTCGGCACCCTACTTGTCCAGTTTCCTAACGGAACTCAAGGGTAGCCTTTGGCAGTATGCAGGGATCATGCAAAAGCTTTGAGGCTGCTTGCCTCTAGGCTGCTTGCCCCTACGACTACGCTCAACCAGCATACTCATGATAATCATCATGAGCCGTCATAATCAGCGAAATATCGAAAATCTACTCCTGGTGAGTAAATCATCAACCATACACCACAAACCCCTCACCGAACCCTAAACCCTAAAGCCCTTAATCCTAAACCCTGAACCCTAAAGCCCCGAAAAGGCGTCCTTATCAGACCCAGCCTTCGCAGAGATGTGCGCTCGGAAGTGTTCTGGTTGATGTGAGGCAGAGGCGGTCTGATGGGAGGGCTCGCCTCCAGAATCGCGTTTGCGTAGGGCTTTGGGGTTTGGGATTTAGGGTTGTTAGGACTCATTAATGTTGTTATAAGAATAGTATGTATGTATTGTCATCGCTGTCGCGACTCATACTGTTATAGTTACTAGTCTTCCGCTTATTGTTGGGACGGCTCGGCTCCAGGGCAAGAGGCACTTCAAGCTGGGCTCCCTCTCAGCCCATGAATCTCAAACCTAAAGCCTAAACTCCTTTCTTAAATTTTAAAGCTGACACCGAAGCTAAACCCACAACCATGAAACAGGATACAAACACAAAGAACTCCGAAATTGCCACTGTACCTGCATTGTACATCCCTCAAGGAACCCTTTAAAAGCTGCGCTGGCCCGTGAAAGCAACCCTAACCCCCAAACCCTAAACCCTAAAGCAAAGGACAAAACCCTAAACCCTAAACCCTAAACCCTAAACCCCAAAGCAAAGGACAAAACCCTAAACCCTAAACCCGCTCACCTCTTCGACCTCTTCGGGCTGCGGCTGCCGGCGCCCGAAGCGCTGGCGATTCACAGCGGCCACGGCCTCCTAGTAACGAGGGGTGCTTGGGGTTTTCGGGTTCAGCTGTTAGAGTTATAGGGATGATAGGGTTCCGGGGAGTCGGGTTTTATTTTGCATATGGATTCGGCTGGTGCCTTTATGGTGTTTAAGCTGTCGGGCTTAGGAAAAACAGACTCTGATATCCACATGGTCTCGAATCATGATAGCACAGTGTACAGTATGGCCGCATACCCAAATTACTACCAGCAGATATACCTGCTGCAAAACAAAGTTGAACTACTGCTCTTGCAACCTTGGCTAAAAATCATGCCAATGGCCAGCGATATCCCTGCCCTGCACACTCGTCATTGAAAATTTTGGTTTTAAGATTATCGTGAACGTTATAAAAAACTCGAATGTTAGGTTTCCGCTAGCAGTAGTTGTACTAGTAGTGCCAGCGTAGTAGTGGATGCAGTACGTAGCAGTAGCAGCAGCAGTAGTGGTAGTAGCAGCAGCAGCAGCAGTAGTAGTAGTAGTAGTAGTAGTAGCAGTAGTAGTAGCAGTACAGTAGTAGTAGTAGTAGTAGTAGTAGTAGTAGCAGTAGTAGTAGCAGTAGCAGTAGCA